CTCGGCCACATGAAGATGGGTGGACTTCAAGTCCCAGGATTCCCTGGACAGCGGTAATCCTCTACTTACAACGGTTCATTTAGTGACCATTTAAAGTTACAACGGCATTGAAAAAGAACGCCTTTTGCAGCATCCGCCGCAGCCCCGTGATCAAAATTTGGGCAATTGGCCTGTGCTGGTTAAACAGTATATAGTTAGTTTGGGAATGAGAGCTGTCCCCTTAAGGGAATGCCTCATGGGAAATGTAGTTAATGCCTCATGGAAGATGTAGTTCATGTCATGTGGTCGCATCTGTAATCCTGATTGGTCACTGAATTGACCTCTGGTTGGATTGGGGGGAGTTTTGGTCATTCTTACTTGGACCCCAGCAACGTGCTGGAGTCTTTCCTTGCTGTATTATTATGGGATGAAGATAACTATCTTTTCACACTATGAAGACGACAATGCAAAGATCGGACATTAGATGGATCTCAGCATAACTGTGAATTATACCTTGAGGATGCCTGATCTAACCCAATAAAGTAACTTTGCATGGAAGCCTTTGTAGTATTTAACTACCTGTCTCTATATTCAGCCAGAAAATTAGAGACAAGATATGGCCACTGACTCATATTTATGATAGTTGCAATGATCCCTTTTTGTCATCTTCTGACAATGGGGAAGCCAGAATCATTTAACAACCGTTACTAATTTAACAAATTAGAGAAAATTTGTTACCAATTTTCTAATTACTAATTTAACAATGGCAGTGATTCACTTAACAACTGGGGCAAGAAAGATTGTAAAATGGAGCCAAACTCAGTTAACAACTGCCTTGTTAGCGATGGAAATTTTGGACTCAATTTTGGTCAAACATCCAGAACTACCTGCATCGCCAACCTCCGCGCCATATCATGGAAACCAGGGGTGAGATTCAATTTTTTTAACTACCGGTTCTGTGGGTGTGGCTAAGTGGGCGTGGCCATTTTTCGCACCCACCACCCCACTTGTTTTTTGGGCCTTCTGGGCCTCAGAGGAGCCTCGGGGGGGGGTCGTTTTTCCTCTTAGAAGGCTCCTCTGGGGGCTCAGGAAGGCAAAAAATGGAGGGGGGGGACTGATCCCCTCGCTCCATTTTTTGCCTTTCTGGGCCTCACCAAGGGGAATCCCGCCACAGTTGATTGTATGAATCAGCTGACTGTCGGGGGGGGGGGGGAAATACCTTAAGGGACCAGGCGGGTGGGGCAAGCGAGCTGATGGTGACCAGGCAACCAGGTCAGGGGCGTGGCCAGCCAGAACTTACTACCAGTCCAGCGACCCAAGCCAACCAGTACGCCCGATGCGGTGCGAACCAGCTGAATACCACCACCGATGGAAACCCACAAAATATGTGTGTGCCACGCAAATTATTGGCTTTTGCTTATCCCAGGCAGCCTTTGGCAACCTCAGCAGGAAGAGGAAACAACGGATTCTTTTATATGTTTATTTAAAGACTTTATACGGGTGTAATAGGAGCAGCCTTTGATTGCCTGCTGGTTTCCCCAATGACTCTCCTTGTAGGAAGGTGGCAGAGAACATTGGAATTATTTAGTTACTGTTGTTCATTTGCTATGTTGTGTCTGACATTTTGGGATCCAGGAGACCCTGCTTTTATTATTAAAGTGATGATTGTCAATATTATTGAAATAATGATCAAGTTATTGCCGCTGATTGGGTTGAAGGACTGCAACACCGCCAAATTTCAATCCCTCTCAAAAAATCAGCGGTCTCAGATATTGGATGCATTCTGTAATTTGAGGTCTGTTGGTTCAAAACACTGTTGCCCAACACGGCACTGTATTGCTCCACTGGAGATTACAAACAGACACAAAGAATTTAGCAATCTATATATATAAAAGCGAAATGCCCCTCATGCATCATCACAAAATCTACAGAACCGTAAAGCCTACAAACTTGAAATTTGGCATGTAATGTTCCTCTTGGCTTCTAGGTGCTCGCTAAGGAAGAATTTTTGAAATGACCATCAGAACATTTAGTATTTCCTATATTATTATTATTATTAACACGCTCTGATGCTAAGGATTTCTACTCCCCCTCCCCACCTGAAAAGAAATCTCTCCCAAATGCAAAACACAAGCAGGAGAGGAGTTTTAGTCTCAGTTTCACAGCAGCAAGCAACTTTAGTAAAGAACATTGAGCTAAGCCACGCCCAGGCTCCTTGCTGTCTGCTTCTTGCTCCCACAGCAAATACTGTTTCCAAACAGCCCTCCACTCTCTCACACACTGACAGGATGCTAGCCAGATGAATACCGATGGATGCTGGTAGGCAGAGGCAGAATTTTTCCTCTTATTTTCCTCCCCCCAAACTAAGCCTGACCACATAGTTTCGTAGTGTTGAAAGGTGTCGAAATGCCTTTCTTCCGAGGATTCGATTTTCCCGCCGGGAGAGCTCCGGCGCAAGGATACGGACAACTGCTTGAAAGCTGGATCTTTTTTTATTTTTCAGGAAGGCGAGAGATAGCGAGAAGTCTGCGTTCCTGGGCTAGCTACCTTCATATGGTAAGTCCCTGATTTTCCTACCCTTTTCTCCTTTTGTGTGTGAGTGCTTGTATTTGTATTTCTTAATGTTTCAAATCCTGTCAGGGGTTGTCTTTATTCCCGCCGGAGGCTAAACTCCGGGGGGTGCGGAAGGCGAACTTTGCGGGGTGGTTTGATTGTATTATCGGCTTCGTCCTAATCTTTTTTATCTTAATGGTTTCTTATATTTGTTTCGTGGCAATCTCCTGTCTGTCTCCTTTGTAATATACATATTTTTTGTGTGTCTTTTGTCTGTTTGTTTTGATGATTTGGCATGTCTTGTGTTTGTAAGGGTTTCCTTTTCTTATTTCTCTAGTTTTCTTAATTATTTGGGCTTTTTTCTAAGGGGATTCTTTAATACCTTTTATTTGATTCCTTTTCCTATGTAAGTTTGTTTTATGGCTGGCCTGATGTTCCCTTTGGGCTTTTCCTGCTTGGGTGACACCACTGTCTTCGTGAAGTTTCCTTTCCACAATAGCAAAGCTTGGGTATCAAGGTAGTACGTAGATAGCCCACATCTTGAACCGCATTGGAGTCTGTCGGAGAACATCTTTCCTCCACAAGGCCCACCAAGAAACAACCTACAAGGTCTGGCCAGATGTGGCCAAGCATCTGTTGGCACCTGCCTAGAAGCCGCGGCTTCTCCCCAACTCCCGCGGGATGCAACCTTCCCACGGGGTGAGGATGGAGACCCACTCACCCGCTCAGCTGTCTCCGCCAGGTCTGGTAGGGGTCGAAGAGACACTCGCATAGGTGCAGGGCGTAGAGGGTGACATTCTCCAGTTGGCCCTGGTGGGGCCAGGCCTCTGTGTGGAAGCTGTTGAGCTGCCAGGGAATTAACCACCAATTAGCCACCATCAGCGTTTCTCTGGCCTCGGCCAAGTTCCCGAAAGAGTCTTTATTTTAACCAGGGAGGTCAAAGGGCAGGAAAATGGGCAGGGTGAACCACAAGGATAACCAGGAGGTTTGGAAGGGAGGGAGGGAGGAAGGAGGGAGGGAGAGAGGAAGAAAAGAGAGGGGAGATAAGTGCTAGGAAAAAGGAAAGAAAGAGAAAGGAAGGAAAGGAAAGGAAAGGAAAGGAAAGGGGGAGGGAGGGAAGGAAAGGAGGAGGGAGGGAAGGAAAGGAGGAAGAGTGAAGGGAACGAAAGGGGGAGGGAAGGAGGGAAGGAAAGGAAGGGAGAGGGAGATGGAAGGGAGGAAGAGGGAAGGACAGAGGGAAGGAACGAAGACTGGAAAACTGACTGAGAGAGAGGGAGAAAGAGGAAAGGAATGAAAAATGAAGAAGGAAGGAAAGAAATGAAAAAGAGAGAGGGAGAGGAGAAAGGAAGGAAGGGAAAGAAAGGGGGAAGAAGGAAGGAGGGAAGGAGAAAGGGCGGGAGGGAAAGAAGGAAGGTGGTCTGGTGTGGGTGGATATGGGTTTTTAAGGTTTTTACTCTCTGTTCTAGGTTCCCTCAATCTTGACAATTTGAAGATGGGTGGACTTCAGTCCCCAGAATCCCCTAGGGAGCGTGCTTAGCTTTATCCTTGAGTGGTGGTCTCAAATTGACGTGGTTCCGCCCCACCTGGGATCCGAACTAGTGTCTCCTGTACGGGAAGCCTCCCTCCTAAACCTGGTTAGGAGGCTCAGAAGATCAGGGTTACCTTTTTCGAACAGGTGGACAGCAGAACGATCAGATCGTGGACAAACAGGGGTGGACGGTCAGCCTGGACGTTTTCCAGATTCCTGCGAAGAAACGAAAGAAGCTGCCTTGAGAAACGGAAAAATTATCTGGCATCGGAGGCCCTTTAAGGCAAAACAAGTGCCAAAACATAATATATTTTTTTAAATCTTTGGTAATTAAAATACTAGTAATTATAGCAAAGTAATAATCGCATCCTTCAGGTTGCTTTAGGTTCAGTTTCTCCTGAAGTTATGCAGGGAGTCCTTGATTTATGACCAAAATTCAGCTCCAAATAATGTCCATAATGTTCATGACTACAATAAATTGAAATTAATCGGTAAAATAGGGTATCCTCTACTTATGCCCACAGCTGAGCCCCAAATTTCTGTTGCTAAGTTAGAGAGTTGTTTAAATTGGGGACCCCTGTTTTAAGAGGGGAGGACTCCGACTCCCAGAATCCCTAGTCAGCATGATTTAAGGAGTGGACTCCAACTCCCAGAATCCCCCAGCCAGGATGCTTTAAGAGGGGAGAACTCCAACTCCCAGAATCCCCCAGCTGGCATGCTTTAAGAGGGGAGAACTCCAATTCCCAGAATCCCCCAGCCAGGATGCTTTAAGAGGGGAGAACTCGAACTCCCAGAATCCCCCAGCTGGCATGCTTTAAGAGGGGAAAACTCCAACTCCCAGAATCTCCCAGCCAGGATGCTTTAAGAGGGAAGGACTCCAACTCCCAGAATCCCCCAGCCGGGATGCTTTAAGAGGGGAGAACTCCAACTCCCAGAATCCCCCAGCCGGGATGCTTTGAGAGGGATGGTCTTCTCTTCTCCCCACCTCTCAGTTCTGCTCCCTCCCGGTCCTCCATCTTGGGTGCCTGTGCTAAAGCTCCTTGGGTGCTTATCTTGAGCTTACCAACCGCAGCACCCACAGGAAGACGGGTAGCGCTAGGCGCTGTCTGCCCCCCGCCCCCCGCCGCCTTCCTGTCAGATTAAAAATAAAACAGAGCTTGGCAAAGGCCTTCAGATCAGCCAGGCCATCCTCCCCCTTGCCAGCTCTGTCTGGGGACGATGGGAGCGGTAGTCCCCTACCGTTGGGCTAGCGTAGCTCTGCTCTGGGTCAGAATGGAGGGTGCGGGGGCAATTTATTTCTATTCATTTTCTGTTTTTCTTTTTTTAATTTCTATACCACTTTATTCTTTTTACAAATAAAGCCGTGAATGTATCTGACACAGTTTCCTCCTGCTGTTTTTCCCAATAAAAACAACCCTGTGAGGTGGGTTGGGCTGAGAAAGAGAGAGGGAGAAGGACTGGCCCAAAGTCACCCAGCTGGCTTTCCTGGCTAAGGTGGCACTAGAACTCACTGTCGCCTAGTGATTGGCCCAAGGTCCCCTGGATGGCTTTTGTGCCTAAGGGAGAACTAGAACTCATCGTCTCCTGGTGATGGGAATTCACTTAACTGCAGTAAATTGCTGCAGCACGGTGATTCACTTAACAGCCACAGTAAAAAGCGATGTAAATTTAGGGTGTCTTGCTTAATGACCACCTCACTTAGTGATGGACGTTTTGCTCCCAATTGTGGTCATAGGTTGATGACTACATGTATATCCTAAACCCTGGGACTGAAATCAAACAAATTTGTGGCAGGCATTATTTGGCACTTTTTTCTGATTGTTCCCCTGTGGCTAAAAGTTCTCCTGGATTAATTTTCTTCCTTCCCCATAGATGTTATACCTGTGTAATATCTAATATACATATTATATATACTGTAATATATTGTATTATTTTATATATATATATAAAACTTAGCAGTAAAATAGCTTGCCAGGAAACAAAGCAATGTTTAATCTGTTTGTGAAATTCGTAATATAAACGAAGCAGGAACACGAGGAAATTGCGTCTTTGAAAACTGGCAATGATAAGCGGTGCTTTGCTGATCTCTATATTTTGCTTTAGTTTTGTTTTGTTTTTAAACGTGCAGCTTTCAAAACTAAACAAACCAGGCTGCCTATTTTTAATCTGCGACCTTTAGAAAAGAAAACCAAATCGGTTTTCAATATTTTCATGGGCAACTTTTAGAGTGGAAAACAAACCAGCTTTGCGTTTTTAAGGTGCGGTTTTTAGAGTGGAAAACAAACCAGCTTCCTATTTTTAGGTTGCAACTTTTAGAGTGAAAAACAAACCAGCTTCCTATTTTTAAGGTAAAACTTGAGAAGAAACCAAACTAGCTTCATATTTTTTTAACGTCCAACTTTTAGACTGGAAACCAAACAAGCTTCCTCTGTTTAAAGTGCAACATTTAGACTGCAAACCAAACCAGCGTCTTATTTTTAAGGTGCAACTTTTAGACTGGAAACCAAACCAGCTTCCTGTTTTTAAGGTGCAGCCTTCAGACTAAAACTCAAACTGGGTTCCTGAAGTTTTTTTTTTTTTTTAAGTCCAGCCACTTTTTTTTTGCTCTGGTTCAAACAAATGTAAGAGAAAGGTTTCAAAGCTCCCATCGGGTGAAGTTTTTCGAGCTATTCCACCCAAGGGCCCAACTCCTAGCTTTTATTGCTTATTTTTTAATGCCAAAGTAAGTTTGTGTTGCTGATTTTTTAAAGGTCACAAAAACACGTGAAGAACAGGTAGTTCTCGACTTACAACCATTCATTTAATGATGAAGTTTACAATGCCACTGAACAAAGTGACTTATGACCCTTTTAGGACCACTGCAGCGTCCTCGTGTTCACATGATCAAAATTCAGACGCTTGGCAACTGGCATGTACATATGACTGTTGCAGTGTCCTGGGATCATGTGATCACCTTTTCCAATCTTCAGACAAGCAGTCAATGGGGGAAATGCCAGATTCACTTAATGACCGCACAATTCATTTAAAAACTTCAGTGATTCTGTGGTAGATTTACTCATCTAAATTGCTAACTGGCCAACCAATTTTCAGTGTGACAAATTGTTCAGTTCTCAGTTTGTTCAATTTAGAATTCAGATTGTTCAGTACAGTACAGTCGCAACTGAACCCAGAATTTATGTCGTTAAGTGAGACATTTGCTAAGTGAGTTTTGCCCCATTTTTTGACCTTTCTTGCTACAGTTGTTAAGTGAATCGCTGTAGTTTATAAGATAGTAACCCGTTAAGTTGTTAAGAGAATCTGGCTTCCCCACTGATTTTGCATGTTGCAAAAGGGGATCAGGTGACACTCCCGGGACGTAGCAACGGTCATAAGTATGAATCAGTTGTCAAGCAGCTGGATTTTGATCACATAATCGTCACGATGCTATAAAGATTGTAACTGTGAAAAATGGACATAGGTCATTTTTTTTCCAGTGATGTTATAATTTTGAACGGTCAGTAAATGAACTGTTGTAAGTTGAGGGCTGCCTGTACTTCAGTTTCTGGTTCCTGTCCAATTTCTACAGAAATGCCAACCTCGTGCCAGGCTCTGCACAAAAAGGCAACCGAAATCTATATAATGATTGTTATAGTTAAAATAATCCCGAAAAAACTAGAATGCCATTTGAAAATCGTCAGCTGTGGCCAAATCCCCACTGGTCAATTGCAAAAGGAAGCTTGATGGACCAGCTAACGTCCAGTGACAATACAGTCCTCAGCTTATGGCCACAATGGAGCCCAGGATTGATGTTCTTAAGTGAGAAATTCATGAAGCTTCATTCCATTTTTATGACTTTTCTTGCTACATTACTTAAGTGAATCACCGCAGTTGTTAAATCGGTCACACGGTCATTAAGCAAATCTGGCTTCCCTCCTGACTGGTCAGAAGGTCACAAAAGGGGATGATGTGACCTTGGGACATGGGAACCATCATAAATAAGAGCCAGTGGTCAATTCCGACCACGTGACCCTGGTGAGATTGCTGCAACGGTCATAAGCATGAAAAACGGTGATAAGTCCTCTTTGCTGGTACTGGTGTAACTGAACAGTCGCTAAATGAACGGTCATAAACTGAGGACTCCCTGTCAGGCTAAGAAAAGAGTGGTTTTATGTTACATTTAAACAGTCACAAAACAAACTGTTGTAAATCAAGGACGAACTATAGTAATAAAACCATAACGTAACATTAAAAATAAATGATGTACCTCACATTTACTAAAAATTGCAAGCTTTCCTTGCAGCAAAGAAGTGTGAGGAAGTGTGAAAAAGTGCAAAGGTCCAGAGACCAGCCCTCTTCTCCGCCCCAACCCCCCCAAACCTTACCCATTTCTGCAACAAACCCTTTCCCACAAAAAATAACCAGCCTTCAGCAGATGGCAAACCCAGTTCACTGTTTCATCTCCCAGAGATCGACCGAAGTTCACAACCAGTGAAGTCGCTTAATTGCCATTTTTCATCTGTCCTCTGAAAAAGTATGTTTGATTAGGCTTTATCCAACCTGGCCATCTGGAGACACACCTGGGGCATTGTTTGCACACTCACAGTCCAGCTGCTGTGGGTTTTTTTGAGCGGCTGGAAAGTCACACCTCCCGTGGTTGGCCAACCATGCTGACTTTTTTAGACAGGGAAAAAAATGTTCAATACCACTGTGGTCAAAAGCAACATCCCCCCCACCCCCCCCATGTGCTAAAAAAGGTTTGTAGGAACAAATTGAGCAAGGATGCAAATTGCACATTCCTGTTTCCTGTGGAAATGTGAAATTTCTGCTATCGTCCACACCCAGAAGGCCAATAGTTCTTCTTCCAAGCTTTGCAGCTTCAGAGTTGTGGAAGAATTGGAAAGGCTTCAGGGAAAAAAAAAAAACTTCCAGATTTCCAAAGGAAGGGAAAACCCCCCCCCCAAAAAAAACACCCCCATGGATATAGATCTTTAGGGTGCAAGAGAACCTTCTGCTCCCCAAAAACTGAGAGCCTGAAAGCAAGCTTTTAGGCACATGGGCTGAGGAATTAAGGCCCCCAGACAGGATCTTTGGCCAAACAGGAAGGAGGATCCAGTTCTCCTTGTATGTTGAGTCTCCAAGATTTGGGGGGATAAAGGAAGGACCGAGGGGAGGGGGTATTTCAAAGAGCTTAAGGATACAAACGCTTAAGAGGGGATGCAGGGTGGGTTTCTACGGAA